GTAATCATTTTACCGTGAATTCCTGCATCTCCCTCAAATTTAAGACTACACTAGAGATCTTAACATTTAGGAAACCACACAGGAAAGATTGAAAGAGGAAAAAAGATATCCCTCCTTTCACTCCGTATGATAAAGAGAACTCTGAAATGTTACAGTACATAAATAAATAAAGTAGTAAATTTAGTTCATTTTCAGCCCAGTTAATTCTTTTTTAAACCGCCATGCAATTTTAAATGTTTATAAAATTTTAAACTTTAAAATATATGAAAGGATTAAAAAAATCTGTTGTCTAAATATGATTTGACTATCAGTATGTTATTGTAACTCTTTTGTATCAGCTAATTAACAATTTGTATGCAGCAGGTAACTAACTAATCATTCTTTCCCCATTTTATCACTATAGAAAAAAAATCATAAAACTAGCAGATGAAACATTTTTGCAGATAAAAAAAAAATCTCCAAAGGGTTTTTTTGGCAGAAGTTAATTAGGGACTTTATTTGGTAAGCCAACCACTTACCAAATAAATTCGAATTTTGACAACTAATTAGAAACTATCTATAAGATACTGGTCTCAGGATGTGAGAAATTAGCTGTTGCTAGGAAATGCCTTTTTTTTGTTTTTGCTCCATTCTTGCAATACATTTCGCATCTAATTGGACTGTAATCTGAAGTTTTCCCCTCAAAGGTTTTTCTTTTATTACATCCACTGATACCACTAACTTAGCAATTGAGTAATATGCAGAAGGAGCATTTGTCTTCTTGGAACTGAAAAAAAGTTTCAGTCGGTTGGGCTCAATCCTAGCTGTTTTTTTCCACTAGTAGAGGCTGGACCAAGAACATATCCCGAGAGACTGAGGTCAAAGAATATAATATCAATTTCCAAAAAGGGAAAGAAAACAACATCTTCTGATTATAGGCCAATTCAGTGGTGGGATTCAAGTATGTGAACAACCGGTTCTCTGTGTGGATGCCGCTTCCGGAAGTCCATTCTGGGCCTTGGCAACAAAAAATTAGCTACCAGTTCTGCCAAAGTGGTGCGAACTGGCTGAATTCCACCACTGGTCCAATTAGTCTACGGAGTGTAATGAACAAAGTTCCTGGACCAGAAGCAAACAAATGAGTTTTCAAGCAGAGTTCTATACATGAGAAAGAATGGAGAAATCTTTACTGACATAAAATTAACTTGTTGCATCAAGCTATGGAAGAAAGTTGAAGTGTCTTCCTTGTATAAATGCTTTCTATTGCTTATAGTATCTAAAGCAGTGGTTCCCAACCTTTTCTATACCCCACACCCCTAGAACGCTTCTAATATATTCTCGCACCCCTTACAAAAATTCAAAATAATGGCAACAAATTATGTATATACATTATAATTTTGGAAACCCAAGTTTTCACACCCCCTGGAATATCATCTCACACTGCTGGTTAGGAACCCTTAATCTAAAGGCTATATGATAACACTTAGGGAACAACACAGGAAGCAGCCAGCCAACCCATAAAGAATAAAACAAGGATGTGTTTTGGCCCCCTTATTGTTTATTTTTTTTTTATATTAACTTTCTGTATGTAAGTTTGACCACAGGTGTCAAACTCACCACATCATGTGAAGTGTCACGACGTAACGTGACTCTTTTTGCATTATCAGCAATGGGTGGGCGCGGCTTCGGTATGATGAAACCGGCCTGCAGGCCGGCAGTTTGACAACCGTGATATAGAAAGACTTATCGCATTACAGGTAGTCCTTGACTTATGGTCACAATTGAGCCCAACATTTTTGTTGCTAAGCAAGAGAGTTGTTAAGTGAATTTTTCCCCATTTTATGATCTTTGTTGCCAAAGTTAAGTGAATCATTGCAGTGGTTAAGTTAATAACATGATTGTTAAGTGAATTTTGCTTCCACACTGACTTTGTTTGTTAGAAGGTTGTAAAAGAGGATCACATGACCCTGGAACACTGCAACCATCATAAATATGAGTCAGTTGCCAAGGGTCTGAATTTTAATCATCTAATCATGGGGATGCTGAGAGGATTGTAAGTGTGAAAAACGGTCATAAGTCACTTTTTCAAAGATGTTGTAACTTTGAAGGTCACTAAATGAACTGTTGTAAGTTGAGGACTATCCGTATTCCCTTTCAGGATAGGCACTTTATCCATATCCATATCCATTATTCAGACTTTTATTCCCTGATAAGTGCTAAATGTACCCTTGCTGTTTGGTATGTACTGTAAGTAATGTTGATATACAGTGTGTGTACGGGTTTCTCTCAAAACCACAAGAATGAAATGAGTCCCTGAACCTATTGTAAGGAAGAACTTTGACTATTAAAAAAAAGAGTTGCAGTTTTAGTCAAAAGATCGGTGAAATGAGTAAGACAAATGCATGGGATTCCAGATGGGCAAGTTAAATTCTATGAATATTTATGATGCGTCTTCCAAACTGAAAATCATTTATTTACTTACTTATTTACATATATGCATATGCATGCTTCCTATTCTAGTGACTCTACACTAGTTTGTGAAAGGAGCACATTAAACACCTTGTTAAAAAGAAAATTGTTGGAACTATTTTTAAGATTCTTTCAGATTAGCTGCAATTAAAAGCTTTGAGGTGATGGTTGTATGTCAGTTGTTAGATGGAGCCCAAATATTCACTCACAAGGTTCCAGGTTATTTTGACCAGTTTTATTTATAAATGAGTACTCCCCACTTAGCGTCCAGTCATTCAGTGACTGTTCAAAATTACACAGCCACTGAACGAGGTGAATTTACAAAGGTCCTCACAGTTGTGGCCATTGCAGAGTCCCCGTAGTCAAGTAATTGCTTAGCAACCAACTTACAATTCTAATACTGTAGAATACCCATGGTTATGGGATCACAATTTGTGATATTCATTTCAGCTTCTGACAAACAAAATCAATAGGGAAGTCAGAAGGTGGTCATAAATGGTGATAACAAGACCATGGGACATTGTGACTACACAGGATTTTCCTAAGAGCCTTACAATTCCATCACTTAGCAACGGACTTCCTTATCCCAATTACTGTTGGTAAGTGAGGACTACCTACATTACTTTCATACTCAAGTGATTTTATTTCTTTAAGCATAGTCAAGTTTCGTAATATAGAGGACTACAGCAATTTGATTGACATGCCTACTTAATCAGCTAATTATTAATTTCATTATGTAATGTGTTTTAGAGATTGCTCATTAACCATAATAGTCTATTTACGCACTCATAAGGATTACAGACCATTAGAAACAGTTTAGTCTGAACTTAAGAGACATCGTTCTATTTACTATGCATACCAAATGCAGGCTTATGCTTGGAGATTGGGTTTAGTTTCAAATGAGGTGTGAGCCTAGATATAAATATTTAACTCTTGGTTTAATTTGATATTTATTCCAGTTGGGTTAAGCCTGTAACTTTGATGGCTGATTAAGAATCTAGATGGAAAAGGGCCTATATTTAACAGTTTAGACTTACTGTATGGGTTTTGTCCCATATATTCTGGATTATGACAATGTTAAAAGGACCATATTTAATATGTAATTCTGTTTTTCAAAAGGCCACAAACTCAACTGTCCAAGAAAAAATGGAAGAGGATTATCTCAATCATTTATCTGCCTAAAGCATGGGACTGTTTAAAGCTTTATCATCAAGCCTACTAATGGTCAGATGTTAAAACATCCTTTTACTCAGTCTGCCTGTTGACAGGATACTGAAGAATTGGAGATAGACATTATATTTCCATATTGCCCCCTTTTACAGAGAAGTTGTCATTATTATTATTTCCATTTTAATTAATTTTTTTATTTTGATAAACATGCCAGGAAGAGATGAATTCATATTTTTCTTTTTTGCCTGATAAATTACTTCTGTTCATTAAGTAGGATCATAGTTCTGTGTCCTCCACTGATGATGGCATGGACATTTGGTAGTTAGATTTCTAATGCTATGATACCCTTTCTAACTTTTTTACTGGGATGGTCACAGCTCAACTTCCTTAAAGTTAGACTAACTTTTCTATTCTATAAAGATTTTGCAATAAAAGTTTCTCTTTTTTTAAACCCCCCCCCCCACAAAGTTAGGTTGCTAATTTTATTTACTATGCAGTTATGAAGCATATTTATAATTTGCCTCAAATAGTATGTTTTCATGTTACTAGAAAAAATGATGACATGAAAACTGACTAGTTTTGGCTAACATAATACGTTTATTTTGGAATCTGCATCCCCTTGAATCCAGGCCACTGTTGTGTTGGCATAGCTAATCTTATTCTTTATAATTTAGCAGTAATACGATAGTATTACATTCAGTCTGCAGGAAACAGCCAATAAATCCTTTCTCTTTACTTTAAATTACTCTGTCTGCAAGGTGAAAGTACTATGATGCACACCTGCAGTGACATCTGGTAGATCTGAGAAACTGATTTAAATTAATTCATATATTTAAATTTCATAGCTCACTATAAGCAATAATGCAATCATTTCAGTTAAGAATTTGGGGATTTTCATAATCTACATTCATCTCCTCAAGCATATATATATATATATATATATATATATATATATGCTATTTTGTAATCCAGTACAAAAGTAAATACACTATGACTTTTGGAATATTTTTTCTAAGCCTTAAAGATAAAATCAATTCTTAAATGACAGTCATATAATACTAAAGCACTTCAATTTCCTATCCAAATGCTCATTTTCCTTTGAGACAAGTGCAAATTTGGAAATACTTTTTCATATATCCTGTAACATTTATTTTGCATCCTTCAAGCTATTCAACTATTTAAAGGTATACTTCTCTGCATGTCTGGTTGATCACCCTGCATGAAAATTACATTTATATATAAAAATAAAGAGGACAGTTCCAATTGTTTATCTTAGATCTTATATAAAAAGTCAGTATATACACCATTGAAGAAAGCTATCTTCCGAAACAGAAAAAGATTTAGAACACATAGTATTATAAAAAAATAGCTTTGTACCATACCTTTTTTTTTTTTTTTGCTCTTTTTGCTTGTTTTATTTTACGGATGTTATTGTGCTGCCCTTCGTTCTATGCTCCTGTCACTTATTGATGTTGCTACGGTTATAAGTAGATATTCATTCAACAGCTTGTCAGGCAGGAACTTCAGCAATTCTCTCTTTTTATCCTCACACAGTACCTTTAACCCAAAGGGAAAGGGAAAAAATAAAAGAATAATTTATTTGTAAGTTCAGACAGGGAAGGATCATCTTATACCTATAGGAGAATTTTTAATCTGATGACTTTGAGTTCTTTCCCAATGATGCATTAAATGCTGAATGGCGACAATGGCCCATGGTATACAAGCTGCCATTCATGAGAAGGACGCGGATGGCACACAAGCCACTTGAGTGAACAATGAGAACAACTGAATACTGTTTTATTATGCCAAAATGATTGTAAATGAATAATGCATACATGGAGATAACGGCTACCCAACACCAATCTGAACAATATGGACACAGGCTGTCCCAAGAACATTCACGCCTGCAATTACAATTAAATTACCGTACACCCTTTGGATCATGAAGGGAAAGAAAGAGTAAACACCGAAGTAAAAATGAAAACAGTTATGTAGTTGGAAAGCCACAAAACTGCTCATTTGGAGGAAAACAAAGTATGATGGAGGCACAAATCTTTTACATTAGACAATTGTAAATAGAAGCCATTTCAAGACAGGATCTTTACCTGTCCCCACTCTGACAAACTGTACAGGAAAGAATTCTCTACCTTCTGTAGTGTTTGAAAGACAGGTCCTTAACCTATTTATGGATAATGTTATATCTAAATACAGTTCAGTCAGAATCTGAAACAAATATGCCAAGTGTCTACAAGACTGCAACCCACATACAGGGGTTGACTGATTTCCCCTTCCAAAATACAAATAATACACCTTGAGACCCTTCTCATGAATAGTAACGAAGGGGCTGGTTTCATATATTTGGACTTTAAATCTAGAAGCCCAGACAATAGCAGGACATGTTTTATCTCTGCTGGATTCATTCTTGCAATTTGGGAAAAAACTCCATGTCATTTCTTGTTCTCTTCTGCCTTGTCAGAAGGTGTGCGTGTTTGATTCTCCTTCTTTGCACAATGAATAGTAGATAACTAGTAAATTCCCTCCCTTGGAAATGTCCTTCTTTATAGGAAGAGAGAAGTTACATTAACAATCATGTAAAAAGTACTGCCGGGTTTTCATAAAACACCACCATTCCTCTTCAGAAAAAAGAATGGTTTACTGTAAGATTGCAATCCTTAATATTCTGAGCAAAATGTCTGATTGAAGTTTCCCCTTGTCATATTGGCAGATTTGGGAAGATGCAATTGTTTCCCGGCGAGGTAGATTCTGTTTGTTAGTTTTCAGTTCACATCACTGCTTCTCTTTTGAAATGTATGTTATTAGCACAGTTGGAGCCTGTTTCTTATATGTCATGAACCCAGTTTTGACATATCTTCCTAACAACTATTTTGGGATGCTGTATGGCTAGAACAATTGTCAGCCTTGAGGGGGAGAAGAAGTAAGGGAAATTCAGGCAGAAGCACAACACATTAAGAATTTATTAAAAGGATCTCACTGATAAAAGTTGTGCCCACCATTTTGCTAGAAGCCCAGAACTAAACAGGAAAAAAGAAAAACACAAAAGGTTTCACTGTTATATTTTTGTAAATGTGCAACAGGATCTGCTATTTCAGCACTTTATTAAACAATTTGTTTCTTTCTTCATAATCACCCAGCATAATGCCTTCACCTTTAGGCTGCTTCAAGGGTTTTTGCTAGAAAGCATTTCTGAAATATCCTTACATATTTTTAAAAAGGTAAAATTAGTATGAAATCTTGATTTGCTGAAAAAAAGTCATCCTGTACAATATATTGCCTTAAAACACTATTTTCTTTTATTCACTCTTGCCCCCAAAACTTATTTTTGCTATCATATTTGGGATGAAAAAAAAATCAGCCAATGATTTCAGAGACATGCAGAAAAGTCTAACTCATTCCTTCCATGTAATGGCCATCAGGATTTTTCAGCCTAAAGTGAGTAGCTGCATTCTACACAGGGGTCCCCAACCCCTGGTCCATGGACCGGTACTGGGCCGCGGCATGCCAGCAACTGGTCTGCACAAACAAGCAAAGCCGCATCTGTGGGATGCAGGCAGCACACAAAACCAAACATCTCTGGTCTGTGGAAAAACCTTTCTCCACAAAAAGGTTGGGGACTTCTGTTCTACAGTAACCCAGCTATAAATCAAATATAAAAGAACTGAAATAAACAAGGGAAGTAAGTACACAAAATGAATTCCCTTCTCACCAGTTCACATGCTGTGCTCATGTCCTCAGCGTTAGTTCTTTCTTGATAACTTTTACCCTTCTTCTCCCTCTTCCTCTCTTTCTTTCCTATTAGGATTCATATGTTTCCTTAGCTAATATGTCAACACATGCCTGAATTCACTTGTAGAAAAGCAGCTTTTCCTTTTGTTTGGGTCTTTTATGATGAGCGTCCTTCCACACCAATAAGCAGTGGCTTCCCTCACAGTGGGAACTTTCCAGTAATTGCCAGAACAAATTAAATTGAAGCTTATCTGTTCTTTCCCCCTTTCACTTAGAAAATGAGGGGAACTGAAGAACAAGACCAATTTTAAGTGGTGACAATATAGTACAGAAATAGGTTAGATACAGTTAGTGCAAAGTCATGTTATGGGCATATTCTGCTGTTTTTCAGGGAGCATATTCTGTCATCAACATTTTGGAATGGTCTCCTCAAGCTGAAAAAAATGCCAAACTATTTTTTTAGGTAGCCCAAAATCCATCCATTCAAAAGTAAATAAAACAGTCAAAGAGAATTTACTCTTATATTGTAAATATGATTTCCGGCAAGGCATTTATTTGGCAAGTCCACTGTTTTTCCAACGGGAAAATAATAGCATGAAGACTATAAAGGGACAGTCATTCATGCTGACAATAGAAATGGAGACCTATCAATGATAAACGAAATAGATAGTTGGTGTGACAGACAAAAGGAAAACTATGGTATTTCCACAAACAAGTCACTAGTAAAGTTTATTATGAGTTCTTCATTTCTTTGTTCCCATTCTTTTTCACTTCCAAGGAAAGTCAATACTTCTGCAAAAAGTTATTCCACTACTTCCTCCTAATGTGTTTTCCTATTGCTATTTGCATTGATTCCCCCCCCCCCGATGATAGCACTTTCTGAATTTCAGATTTTTGACAGTCAGTTGGTGCCACAAACTATGACAAAATCCTGTATGTTTTTTTCCACTGAGGAACATTGCATATTAGGCCATTAAATTGCCATACTCTTTGAGCAAACTACACATTTACAAAAATTTCACCGGCTATTAATCGAGAGAAGACTTAATACAGAAAGATACTCGTGTCAATGGTTTCCTTATGTACAAAAGAAGTGGATAAAAGACATTATGGTTTTGAACAAAACAAAATTGTGTTTGAAATAGAATTATGTACTAATGATGAACATGTATAAACTTTTGTTGAGATATGAGACACAAGAAGAAAAAGTAAAATAATGTGTAATAAATGGGCTAAAAGCCATTCCACAATAGATGACTAGTTGGAAAAACCAATGCAACTAAGCAGAGATTGCATTGATTATTAAATTGATTACTTTAATGAAAGAAAAGAATATATCCAACTTTGTTTCTATTTGGAAACCATTTCTTTTTTGTGTTTGAGATGGAAAAAAATGAAACTCTGAGTTTTGCTCATTAGATAAGTCTGTTGTTATAGCAATGGCTAGTACATATTATGTAAAAATAAAAAGTTGAAATTCTAATGTTACTTTCTTGTTCTATTATGCTAAAAAATGGGAAGTCAATGGTTTACCCTAAACTTTAGGGAAAACTTCCTCTTTACCATAAATTTCTTTCTCTTCTCTTCTCCCATTTTCCTACTTTCATTTTCTTTTTAATTTTATATCTTTAGAACCTTAATAAAATTATTAAAAGGAAAAAATAAAAGTCATCATACCACTAGTGGAGAAATGTTTGGCGAAGATGATGGAACTTGCAGAAATGGCTAAATGAACTTCTTTGCTTAGAGAGAAAACAATATTTATATTTATAGCTCACTGGAAACTTCTCAAAGACTGGGAAAGATGCTCTTACTACATGATTTGTAATTTTTATGATTAGAAAAAAAAATTGGAGCTTTTTTTTGGTAACCATAGAATAAGAGAATTTTCTAATTATTTGCGGCAAAGGAAATCAAAAGCATCTTTTTCTTCATTCTTTCTGCACTTTTTTCTCTCTTTTACCTGCAATTTCTTTTTATTAGCTTGTATTAGTTTTTTTAAAAAGGTTAATAAAAACTTTTAATAATTTCTTCAGTAATATCAAAGAAATGGTAGAACAGAATTATTAAAGGATGCTAAAAGAGGGACAAAATGAAATGCGAATGACAAAAAATAAAATAATGGTGAAGAAACCATCGCAAACACAGTACAGTTATCTCATGTTGAGTTATTCTGGGCTGAATTGTCCTGCAGTGAGTTGGCTGTGTTGATTGAGGAAAGTTGACTGGGTCAGTCTGCCAGAACACGCATGGACTGTGGCTGGAGGTAGGGCGAGCGAGCTGAGGAGTAAGCTGAGTTGAAGAATGCAGAGGAAGGAGGGAAGATGGAGGAAGAGCAGGTAGTAGATAGTTCATAAGAGAAAGAGAGAGAGAGGGAGGGAGAGAGAGAGAGAGAGAGAGAGGGAGGGAGGGAGGGGGAGGGGGAGAGAGAGATGCTGATAGGGCTTCATGCTGGGCTCTCCTTGCTGGTAACATCTGCCTTTCTGCAAGTGCAGTTGTCTGGGGAACTCCATCTCAAGGGGGGCTCTGTCTCAAGGCAGGGCAGGAGTTCTGGGGCTGGCCTGGCCCTGGCACCAGTGGCGCAACACCACTCACAAAGTGCGGGAGGGGGGAGTCAATGAATATATACAGGTCTTTACAAGCAAATAAATGAGCTTGAATGAGCAGGGGTTCCCTGAGGCCTGAAAATATTTCAAGGATTCTTCCAGACTTAAAAAGTTGAGAAAGGCTTCCCTAGATACTACAAGTTTATAAGTTTACATCCAATATGTTTGGATAAAATTGCTTATTCCAATAACGGTTTTCTAAATTTT